TTCAAATTGAAATTACGAATGCGCCCATAAAGCGCAGACATCCAATATAATAAAGCATATAATGTCAAAAATAACAAAATAATATGCGTTTCTGTGGCGAGAATATTTTTATGGCATTTTTCGAGCGGTTCAAAAAGCGCACCGGATACGCGAAGCACACAAAACGTACCAAAACAATGTTGCAATTAATTTTAATATAACCATGCGGGTGGAGATGCGCTTGATTTATTGCCGGCGGACGAGCGGATAGAGACAGGTGGATATATAAATGTAAATATTATGTTGTATTTGTTATAAAAACAGGCGAAGCGAGCATGAACGCATGTAGGGTTGGGGGATGGGGTTGGGAATACGTTCACGTACATGCCGCATGCTTTTACCGGCGGCGGCAGCAGCAAACCATGCGAAAAACGCAAAATCAGAATCAAGTCAAAATCAGGATTTCTTTACAAGCTAAAATCTATCCACAAACAAGTCCATAATACCACTTCGCCCACTATAAATTCAGCGAAACTATGTGAGATCATCTACGAAACAATGCACGTAATGATTTACTACACCAGCTTTCAAAACAACGGGATTATATGCAAAAACGTTTTAAGCCGGCAGAAATATTGTGGAGGCGCCGGGCAACCACATGCGAAATACATTTATTTAGTTTATAGCAGTTGGTGTGAGAAAACAACAATCGTATAATGAATGACGGGGTTGAAATGAATCTCTTCACTCCTCACCATTACAGAGTGGTCTAATCAAAGGTCTTCCTTATGTCGGCGGCTGCGGCGGTTGTGTTCGTTAGTATTCCCAACATAGTTCACTTTAACACCGCCAAGGGAACGCGTCCGCTGCTGGACTCGGGTCGATCGGTTGGGTTTGGCGACTACGTGCTTACGTGATATACCCACATGCCGCCCCCTTTTCACCCTCGCACCTATGCACGTAGCGGGGTCGACCTCTGATTGGATAACAAGTAATCCCGGTTAATTGAAAGTGGACGGATTGATGATTTCCACTACAGGACGGCTGGGCGCCTCGCATGAAAATTACAAGTCAACAGTTTTCATCCCCTATATAATTTTTGCCTTTTCACACCCTTCGATATAATCCTAATCTTTTATTACTCTATTCAGGAATCAAGCATGGAAATTTTTATGAATTATATTTGCGAAGAAAAAAGATTTATGACGTTCGTTTTCAATTAAAAATAATCTTTGGCGCTTCATAAATTTCGAAACAGAAATGTGTCGCCGCCACTCCTAGGGGGCGGAAGATGAACGCGCCGTCGTGCGCTATTAAAACCTTCATTTTTAAACGTAAATTAACTGGCAGCGTTGCCCTTTAACTCCTCTACCCCTTGGTGTTTTTGAATATAATGAGAAAACAAATGCACCGCACACCGACGAAAAGCTCACGCTATGAATTTATTATTGTTTATAAATTATTCCGCGCGTGGGTAGCACCGGAAATGATTCGAAATAAATAATTTAACAGCTACACACTGTAATTCCGAAGTGAATTTTCGCTGATGGAATAGTTAGTTGTTTGGTAAAACAAATGATTAAAACAGTTTAATGTAAAAAGTTTACTCGCGCTCATTTCGTATGCATTTTTTGTCTTTGTGTAATGGCTGCCGACGCGCGATATTTATTCTTTATCTTTATTTCCACTTGGACGCGTCTTTTCGACTCGGGCGTCGTTTTCTTCGCTGTGTCGCCGTCGTCAGCGCTCCTTCTCCTGAGCTGACGTGTCACACTTTCGCGACGCTGCGCCTTTATAAGCGAAATTGATTAATGCGAGGAAATTTTTATATTGCGCTATATGGCATACAGATACCGGCGGTACATAACAATATATAAACATTTTTACAACCAAGCGACGGACGGAACAATGCAAGACGAACTGCGCGAGCTTTACCGGTATAAAGCACCCTAGTTGGTTGAGACGACGGCGAAAAAATTAAATTAAAAAATTTTCTTACTCTCTTTTCGTAATCATCATTACGTCATTATTTCACTCATCGTGCGCCTCAACTTTATTCTGACAAGAAAAGCGCTTCATTAATTATACGACTTTGTGTTTTTATTTCAGGCTTAATAAAAATTGATTACGTAAATAATTACACTTAAAAATCATGTATTGTTGTATGTCGAAATGGACACTATTTCAACTTAAAATAATGAAATGATAGGTTTTTCGGTTAGCAGGTAGATACCTGAAAATTTAATGCCAGTCATAGAGACGAATTATGTTAAAGACCGTGCTTAGTTGCAGCTAGAAGTTAGAGTAAGAAATATATCCGGACATTAATATCACTCAGGCGTAGAACGCTGAAACGCTGAAAAGTCGGCAGATGATGCGCTTTGCAGGAAGCGCGCTCGCTTGCGCGGTAAGTGGGTGCCACCGGCGCCTCCGCCATCAACAACCTACCTTCCCGAAACAAAATTGTAAATTTAGACTCGCCATTTGCTCAAACGGACATTGTTGAAGTATTGTTACAGTTTGTACTTTATATAAATAACATGTTTATAAAGTATAACGTTTTTATTCGTTTTATTTTTATTTTTAGTTGAAGGTAAATCGAATTGTGGGAAATTGTGGTAATTGAGGTATTTTCCACACTTCCCATCTCGATTTGTCCCCATAGTAAAGTCATTCGTATGCGAGGGCCGCAACCCTGTTCTGTGGTCAAGCGTTTCTTTCTCCCCTGTGCACACGTGTGTGTACGTGTGATGATAATTTTCCGTAGGCTCTAAAAGGAGCGCTAAATGGCCGCTTTGCTTCCGCCCGCCGGCCCAAATCACCCAACCGCAGGACACCGAAGTGGGTCATTTAAATATTTGCTAGTTGAATTGAGTTGACCTCCCTCTATGTTCGGTGTGCGGGAAGACATCGCCCGCCACCGGCCGAAATTATTGCGTTAACGTGCAAATGTGTATATTTTGCGCACGTCTTTTATTTCTTCTGTAACCATCAGGGAGTGCGAAAAATGAGCGCCCGGATCGATGGCGCCAGACGTTTTTAGCATTTTGCTGTTTTATACTCCTATGTTACGTCCAAACACGCGGGGGGCTCTCGGGTCTCTGCAGCGAACAGAAACGCTAGCGTGTCGCGTGGGGGGCGGCGATGCGGTGGGATAGATGCGTTCGAGAAACAAAAAGGGAATGGTTATTCAGGCAAACGTGGAAAATTCAGTGCGACGCGCCGCGAATATAAAAATATTATTTTTTATCAACACTATCTGCCGTCGCCGAAGGAATTCGCTGCAGATATACATCCATAAACATTTTATCTTGACAAGTGCGTTCGTTCTGCGACAAATAACTTAATGTGAAAATTACCGATATAAAAAAATGAAATATGCCACGAAAATGTTTTTTAGTGTCTTTTATTGATAAAAAAGAGATTTTTTTGTAAAGGTATTGAAAAAATGATTATATGTTTGAGGTTTTATTCGATGTGATACGATGCGCAATAGAAAATTGATGAAAATCATGATTTCCGGCTTCCTTTGCGGTGTGCGCACACGTGAATGCGATAAAGCAAAATAAGAATCAACTGTAGAACTGTGAAACTGCAGAATTGTGGGCTATAGACTCGCCTTATTTGTATAAAACATCTTTAAAGCTTTGGAAATCCGCCGAGACAGATAGGGTATTGAGAGAGGAAATATTCATGCTGAAAACCGGGTTAGGGCGCGCGCACCGCGCGGAATTCGAGAGCGAAAAGCTACGAAAGCTACGAAAGCAACACAGACATCACGGCGCTTTGTAGCGTCGCTAAAAAACAGTGAAAAACGAAGAGGAGCACAAAAAAGAAGAACGGGTTTCTTCTTTAATCTCGCCCCCGACTGAAAACGAAGTAGTCGCCTTCTTTTTCGCTCGCATTGCATTGCGAATGCAACACAGAAAGCCGATAGATTTAAATTTATTTTAAATTTTCCCAAAACCCATCCGCGGCTCGTTTATTTTTACAAGTAGCGTCGCCCGAAATCCTCGAAATGCGCGCACGCAAAAAGCGAAACGGATCGTCAGCGATGGTGGCAGCGCCGGCCGCAGCCAAAGGCGGAATTGTAAACAGTAAACGTTTATGCCGGCATCGCCCGCCCCCAGAGCGAATGTCGTTAAAGCTCTCGTCGTCGATATCCGCGCGCTCGATTGTACGGAAATGTGCTTAGAGGCTCGATACTGATGAGATAATTATTGATTCCTGCCATTCTTGCAATTCGCGCGTTTCCTACAAAGCGGAGCAAGTCGTTCGGAACGCATTTAACTTTGAGATTAATTTTTATTTTCTTGCCGATCTCCGTCGTCGTTTATTTTTTCTCCAAATTCATTGGTAGCGCATTATCGCCGGCCTAATTAATCCATGGTATTTTAATTATTAACGTTTAAAAGTTTACATTTACTTCCAGGGGCATGAAATTGTGATGAGAAAGCTAACTGAGGGTTTAGAGTACCAAAAAAATATTCAAATACGTTGGTGTCGTTTATGCAAATCCGGCGTGCATTTATAATTATAAACACAGTCGTGTAATCTTTGCTCGTTTGTTTTTCCGGACGCCTTTTTGTTTTTTAACGCGTTCCGCTCGCCGCGGAAAAACGTGCGCTATGCATTTTTAAATAGTCCGGGGACATTCCCCGGCTTTTCAGTATTTCAGTACATCAAGTCGGTGCGGCGAATTTGTGTGCGCGTCGAAAGCCACGAAAATGAGCCCAGCCGATCCGCAAAGAAAAGCTTTGCGCTGGTTTTTCCCGTATTACCATTTATGCAGTGCGCGCGCGCGCGTCGCACGACGCTCGGAATTGTTCATCGTACGTGATTTCACATGCGACACGTACGGACGATAGAGTTGCAGCGAACACGTTCCGCGCACACATTGAATTTCGCCCCGAGGAGGCCTGGTTAATAAATCAAGGCACTAATTATCGCGATTCTTTTACTGTGCAAAACGCCATGCGTTTACTCTGCTAATGGCTTAATTATTGTTGTTGTTGTTGCAGGTGGACTGGTGGCCGCGCTGCACTTACAGGAATTACGGATACCCAGTCACGCCGTGCGCAATTCGAACGTGCGTCTTGAATGTCACTTTGAATTGGACGGCGAGACGCTGTACTCTGTCAAATGGTATAAGGATGGCAACGAATTCTATCGCTACGTGCCACGAGACATGCCACCAGCACAAGTTTTTCCACTTCCTGGAGTAACAGTCAATGTGAGTATTAAACCATTTTACTTAACACCTAGGAAACACATTTTCTATGTTTTCCTGTTTTATTTAGTGTTTTAACAATTAAAATTTTCTAAACAAACATCATTATCTTCTACCTGTTTGACATTAACGGTGTACGCCTTTAGCCTGAAGGTAATGAAGCCAGAAGAGCAATTAATACCTGTTTGTCTTTCATTTCTCTCCTCAAACACAAACAACTATTGCGGCACCGCCGTCGCAAACTATCTATACATATAATCAATATGTCGACGGGCACCCACCCACACGATCGAACTCATCGCTGAATACTGAATGCGGACGTGTTTGCTGAAGACCGGAGCCAAGAAAAGCGGAACGCCAATGACGAGGACGTTTTGCTGGCGTACACGCGTTGGTCTACCAGCGCCTCCACCACAAACGTTTGTAAAGCGCGTCGTGGCGCAATGAAATGGAGATATTTGAAAGCAGATTCAAAGCGCAAATTGAGCATTCGCACAATCCATCGATGTGCCTCGGTACACTCATGTCAAATACGCGCATAGGAATTGAAACGAATGTTTGCGCTGCTAAGAAATGTTTTAACAGCAAATATAAACGCCGTCTAATTAATAACAAAGTCGGCGTAAATTTCACCCGAGAGTATTCAACATATTTCGTGGATAGTTAAACATATTAGTCTGACTTCCGGGTTGCCGCATCTAATGAATTACAGATAATTTATTAGCTCGTGTTTACGCACCCCTATCAACCTCAAACATTTGCAATTGATTAATATTGAAATATGAATATTATTCGTGCGATAAAAACACCAAATAACACAAATATATATATCTTCCATTTCGAAGCATTAATCATCACGTTGAAAATCAGGAAGTATTTGTTTGTATAAATACAGGGTGCCATCATGAATGCAAAGGGTGGTTTATGTTGTGTATGAAATTTCAGTGGTTCTGGGGCTGGACAAACATTGTGGTTCAATATTATTTGCATTGGTAAATAAATACTCCTGTATCAATAAACAGCTTTGAATATTGTTAGATTTAATTAAAATAAACACCAAAGTGATTGCAAAGTTTTTGCGTGAAATATTTTTAAATGGTTTCTTTTGTATTATATGTAAAACTAGTCGGTCTTATGGCGTCGTGTCGTTAAATGCAAAAATGTGAATCTTGCCCCGAGACGTGCTCGACGCCTTGTCTTGGCGATGGCTGGCGTTTCGACGTCTCCCCCGGCCCATTGAAGCTTTTTCTTATGTTCCGCTCGGCTTGTTTTAGCTCCGAGGACCATTATGATAACGCTACGGTTGTTAGAGAGAAATACTGCTTTAATATCTCAGCGGCGGCCGCCCGACTGCTGTCTGCCAGTGCGCGCCCGGCAGGAAGGAGCACTTTGCGCGCCGCGCAGGATAACAATGCGTCATATTCATAAATGGCGCGAGTCCTCGCGCGCCTCCCTACTTGCGATTAAGCGCATTACGTACCTTCTCAACTCTTCCTGAAACCTTTAATAAATATACCTATACAGGATGTTACAATCGCAGAAATTCAATTAAATTAAACTCTTTATATAATAATTTGTATATTTGGTTGCATATATATATAATAATCCGTATTTAATTAGTACTACCTATTATAACATTCCTGTGCGTAATAGACCAGATTCCAGGTGTATATTGAACAATAACCTTCATGCTGCGCTTGGTTAAAATCCTTTAGATAACTGAAGTGTCGTCGTCTCGACACGCCGCCTCCGCTAGTAGCACCGCTGTCGTTCGATTGCGGATGAATTGCGCACGACATTAACCCTTTCCCGCTCGTTTGTCGCCGCTTGCGAAAGCTGCAAAGCTCGTCGACTCGTCGAAGTTCACATCGCGCTGGAGGTAGGCGGGGATTATTCATATCTACAGCATCGTAAACTTTTACTGCTCAATAGACTTACAACTTGTCTGGCTGTCGCAGCGCAGAAAAAGCTCCTTTCTTTGCGTCAAGGAGACAAGGGGTGTTCTTATCGCTCGGATCGGACACGGGCCAGGACGTGCATTGTGAGAGAGGGCGCATTATGCGTGTGCGTCGTGCTCGTACATTGTTTACATGTTTTCCTGCGGAGGGTTGATATGGGCCCTTTTTCGGGGGTGGCGATGCGGATGCGGACCCCAAGGTCTTTTAGCGTTATTAGCCCATTGTTGTTAGACATGAAATTGATATCATCGTCTTTTCACATCCCCTGACTCTCTACGTATTTATCTACTTATTTATATTGTGCGTCGGGGTTTGAATACATTTCAGGATATTTGGATTATCGTGAATGTAAAAAATCGAAAAATTTATATTTTACATGAGGTTTTATAAATCACGTGAATAAATCTGCGAGTAAATTGAATTTCTAAATAAATGGATATAATTTTTCCTGTCCGGGGGCGGTAAAATTAATATAAAACTACGACTTTATTGGCAATAAGTCTCGCACGCATGTTGCAGGCCCACGCACATTTGTTGCTCGTCTCAGGGTGTATTTGTACATAATAGGAAGGAACAAATTGCGGCGGTGTAAGTAAAGAGACACTGATGTATGCCCTTTCGGAGATAAATCGCACGCGGGGATGTTTTGCATTATTTAATCTCGTTTGCCGGCGCAAGGTACGTTCACGTATTGTAACCGCCGCCCTGCCGCGCCTGTGCGTTGATAGATGCCTCGCTAGGGTGGTGCATAAGGGCGGCTGGCAGTACGATAGGCGCGAGCGATTTTATAAATTCGGATGCGACATTACCGTTGTGTGCCCCCTTTGCTGCCGTACATGACGCAATCAATTTTCGCACTCGAGCACGCTGCAAGAATGCTCACTCCACACCCGCCGCCACCGCTCGCCGTCTTGATGTATCACCTTCGAGCAAGACGCGTCGACGCGAGTGTGTGCTGACAGAAATTGGAAATAGATTGAATATCGACTTTTTATCATTCAGTCGGTAGTCACTTTTGACTCTCTTGCACGACGGGCGCGCCTGTTGCAACCGGCATTACACATTCACGAGTTTTATCAAAAAGTTACTCGTTTAAATTGCTAGTTTAAGTGAACAATGTCGAAGTGTCGCGCCGAGTGCTAACTTTATTATAATGTCGAACATTTCGTTTCACGCTTGTCGCAGATAGTTATTTCCAATTTTGCGCGTCGAGTCGCTGGCGATTAATGTTTGGGGGAGGAAATTTCACGCTGCAAACTAGTTTCATGTTATATCATGCAAAATTTACTCTTGCAAAACTCTGATGGTCCGGCTTAATAGTATTAAGTGGTCAAAACTTTCTGGGAGCGCAAATTTTTGTTGAACTTGGAACTTTAAAAGTCAAACTTGCCATATTTTACTGCTGTGTCGGTGGGAGAGTGTAAAAACAAGAACAAACTTATAATCTTTTCAAAGAGCAATATATCATAAAAAGGGAAATTTGATTATCTGTCTGGTGCACATAAATTTAAATTCATATTTATTCTTGACTTTTTTTATTCGCTCAGTTAAAGTTCGTAATCTGCAAAAAATATTCTTCAAAGTCTGTGATTTTAAATCTCAACAAACCATATTGTTTTTTTAGTTTTTATTGAGTTTAGATAATCGTGTTGTGTTACATTTATTTTGCGTTAAATACAACAATTTATTTACGTCTAGTACTAAAAATTTAAAAATGAAAAAAATATCCGTTGCAGAAGAATAATCATTGTTTTTCTTTGTAGATTCACAACTCGTCTGACACACAAGTCGTCCTGACATCGGTCCAGCTGCCCTCGTCAGGATTGTACAGATGTGAGGTGTCCGGTGAAGCACCCTTCTTCCAAACGGTCACCGAACATCAGCGCATGATGGTCGTAGGTGAGTACAGATAAAACATTTTGTGTTTATATTTTAACATAAATTTTTTATATTTTCCAAAGAAGTTGAAGATACGTAAATTAAGATACGACGTTTGAATTCGTTAGAAATGTCGATAGCGTAGTCGATGTGAAAATTTGCCTACGGGCGCAAATTTAATTACTATTTATCTAATTTAATTAATTTCGCTCCGGCCGCTCGAAGATTGAATTATTTATTTTACGGGCATCGAATTTGGCGAAAGGTGTGCCCGTGGCGAAACTTTCCGAAAACGTGCACAACCAAATAAAGTACTTCTAATAGGGTTGCGTTCGTTAAATTAGTCGGTCTCGGGCTGTTTGGGTTAATGGGACGTACGTTTGTCGCGATCGGTTTCTTCGGCCGGCGGCGTCGGCGACGGCGGTGGGCCGCACTTTTCCATGCCGCCACACTCCGGCGCGCCGCGGATGGCGGATTTCGCTTCGGGTACAAGTAATTACATTTAAGAAAATTGGCGCTGCGTGGGCGGGCGCGCGCTCTCGCTTTATACGCCATCGCTCCGGCTTTATCCGCAATCTTTTCCTTTGGGCCCATATTTTCGATTTATTTTATCGATAGTGCTTACGAACTCTCTTCGCCAAAGGGATGCGTAAAATATAATCACCTTCCATCGCAAGAAGAAAAAAAAAACAGGCAACAAAGCTCCTTTTGCAATTACACTCGTAAAAATACTGAATACTTTGCAGAAAACGTAAAATTCGATAAGGATTGCTTCCCCTCCAACAAGTCCATAAAATGTGTACGTTTTTTGACTGCTTGCTACCTTTTGGGCGACCCCCATAAGCTCTGCGCGCATTGATTGAGTGTAGAGAGTAAAGGTGGCCTTAAAAGTGGCCATAAAATCAGTGCGAAAACATCTGGCGAAGGAAACACGACGACTTTGTTTTATTGCCACAATGCGCGCGCGCGACAGGGTTGTTAAATAACCCTCTGATTTGCCATTTGAAATTTGATTTTTTTAATGTCCTCTGTCGACTGGCGAACATTTAATTTAAACATTTTGTGTGACGCAGGTCGAGTCGAAAAGTTTTCCTTGTTTTATTTTTTTTTATTCCGCCCCCGGTCGATTTATAAATAACCTGCCATTCTCCATTTACGTTATTGATGGCGGACATGCGAAGGTCTCGCATTTCTTTCGGATTTCTTCGGGCAAATGCAGGTCGATGATTGATACTTCACTTGATGCCTGGTTAGAACAAAAATCCGACATGTCTTACAAACCACTAAATTTAGTATCGAGTTATTGGTATATCGAGTATATCAAGAGGCCAAACATGAATTGAATTAATAATTTTTATCCTTCGGTTTATTGTAACATTTGGTATATTTTATTTCGGAGTCTTTTCATAGGTTTTATTTTGCACCATCGTGTTGAAAACGTCGAAGTAGACGATGTAGAAGAATTCAAAGGGAATTTAAAGCAACTGGCTTTGAACGAAAGCAAAAAAAAAACGTACGACGCAGAGGAAACTTTCTTTAAAACAATTCCGAGGCGGCTTGTTTTATTTAATCAGCGCGCGTGTATGTTTTCGCGTGTGTTTATTGAGATACCGAGCAGTTCTTTAACTTTTCGACGCCGACACTCAGCACTTATTTAAGTTGCTCGCCGAAAATAAAAGTTGAAAGATAACGCCGACGACCGGTGTCGATTCTTCTTCTTTTTTTTAGCCCGCAGCCTAAAAATTCGACACAAAATCCAAGGTGCAGTCTAAGTTTGGTAATCTATATATTTTTGCGCGCAGCCGAGTGGGAAAATGGGAAACAAAAGTGTCATCCGCACTGTTTCACGCTTCACTAGCTCACTAAAGCCCGGCGCCTTCACCATAGTGTGAGACGCTGAAAAAAGACATTAGCCTTTTCGTATTTCTATTCATGTACGTACAGACCACAAACGCCGACAATGCACGGTTGTGATGGTTGGGTGATAAATGATCTTATTCTTATATAGTTTATACTTGGCTATAGAAGGACGTCGCATGTTTCTTTTATAATTTTCCAGCCACGAACTAAACGTGTACATTGAACATGTACTCGCCGCAACGCAGTGGAAATGTTGACCTTATTAGGTTTTTCGTAGCGGGTGAAAAACAACAGAGACAGAGATCGATTCGATTGCTGGTGGAATCGATGCGCTTGCTGGGGAAAATTGGACGATTTCAAACAACAAAGTCGTAAAATATTCTTTGGTTTTATTGGACGCGCGCAACGACGAGTTTCCGGCAAACTTTTTGACAACATCATATTTAAGAGAATGGCGCGTTTTTTTTTTCTTCTTCTGGTGGCGGAATACGACGTAGGTTGGTTGATATTGGCGACGTGATGTCTGGAAAGTGGAAATATTTAGGTCGTGACATTGGCGCCCGTTGCCAACTCGCTGATGGATTCGAGGAATAAAAGTAGAAGCAAAAAAAACTTTGGCAGCCATGGCGTTGGCAGGAAGACGTAGAATAACAGTCGTGTAGTAAAAACATCCGATAAAACATACAAACACGAAAACACTGTATTAATACTCATACGTCCGCACTTGAGCGTTTTATTACTAAGGGGGTTGACCCAGAGTGCTCGCCAAAAGAATAAAATTTAATTAATTGGCAAATTAGGTCGCATCATTCTTTTTTTCCGCTTCTAATTGTCGCTCGCGGTTGTTAATTACATTAATTCCGCACCGATGCCTTTTATACTCGCCCACGCACGTGACATATGGAATAAAAATCGTCAGGGATGTGTTCGAGGGGAGAAATACGACCGTCCGCAGGTCTGCACCTCGACGCGTCCGGCGGTGGCGGCGGCGATGAGGGTCTCTAAATAAACACGTGCGGGGCCTGGCGAAAAAAAAGCCCGGGACGCAAATGATGGAACGGCGTCGACGTCCGGGTCAAATAAAATATTAGGAAAATATAACGAGCGCAATTTACATTTTTAAAATAAACGACACCAGAGATTACGATTCGCCACGACAAAAAATCTTTGAGCTTGCGCGCGAAAATAGCACGCCGAAAAAAAGGAGCGGAACGACGGCGCGTAATTATTCACTGCCAGGCGGGCGGGCGGGATGAACGCGCGCGGGCACAGCGCCGTCGTAATGTTAAGCTGTGTGCTGTGTCTTATGTTAATCTGGCATAATCCTGTCTGGTTAGCTGCCTGCTCCTGCCACCAGGACGGCGCCCATTATTCACGCCATTTTCTCTGCTGCGCGCTTTTCTTTTGCCCCGCGCACGACAAGTCTAATGTAGGTGTTTTCCAGCGCACTTGACTTGCAAAGTAAGCGGCGGACGTCTTGCGACATGTGCAAAGCAGTGCAAAAGTGAAACTGTGATTCTATCATTTATTAAAATTACGGATATACTACACTTTATTCACGCAGAAGAAAATAATTTATACTGTTTTCATGATTGAAACACAAAAGTCGTTTAAAACGTTTCAGGTATTCCCATTGGGAAACATTTCCCGTGGATAATGATTTATACATGACCAGCGTACCAAACTTGGATACAATCAATCCGAAAACCGCTTATGCAATCATATCGGCGCACTAAATGTATGTGTCGGTGAGTTGGTGTGCATGGAAACACTCGATCTGCATTCGTAAATATATGCAGCGCAATGAATTTCCTCCTGTTGTCCGCCGCTTATTGCGATGCGAAACAATAGCGCCGTAATTATCATCTGAACCGGCCTGAATCATAAACTGCTTCATTAATTTTCAGCAATTAATATTCCGTGCGCCCGCTCTAAATGACCCCCTGCCCCCCTTTTCCCTAAAAGTTGAAAGATTGCATGAATTGAATGTGGGTCACAAATAAAGTTGAAAGTATTTATTATATTGCTGTGCCCGGCGCCTCCACATATGTAAATGCGTGTATTTTACTCACGCAGGGCACGTACACGTGTAAATAACAACGGTACGGATGCGATATCGAATAATTTCAACAAGTGCATAATGCAAATTTGATTATCGGATATTATCGGACGTCGTCGCGCGTTCGCAGCGATCCGATAACGCATGACGATGATGATACCGTGGCGCATTTTGATTGTGTCGTCGGCCGTCGGCCGTCAAATGCCTTGTTGCCCGTTTTGCAATTGCGTATGAACGTGATACGTGTTGATATTTTGTGTAGCGTGCGCGCGATTAAAATTCAGCTTTAATTGATAAGCGAATGAACGCGCGGGCAGCTGCCGGCCTCGCAGTTATCGTTAAATTATAAAATTTCGTTTGACGCAAATGTCATTATGCAAATTGCTACATGTTTAATGGAATTCCGATGCGTGTGCATTGGGAAATTTGAGATCGCGGGTAATACGCACGTTAATGGCACTCGGGATAAATATATGGAAATTTTTGGGATGCTGATGTAATTAACTTTTGTGTGTTTTACGCCTGTTATACACCGCAGTTTTATATTATGCATGCTAATGAATTTAATAAAAATGTGTACCTATACAAATTTTCGTAGTTAACTTCAATAAATATTTAGAATTATGAGAATGCACATAAAAATGCTACAGTCTCATTACTCGCGCTCAGCCATATTTTTTGTGTTAAACTTGCACCGCTCAAAATCAGATACGAGCGGAACTGAAAGCATGGAATTTTTGTTTTCTACTCTCACATGCGCAAATTACACGTGTGTAATGTGAGCGCGCCGCTAACAAAATGCAGTTGCAGTTTTATAATTCAAAGTTCAGTCGCGTTGTTTTGCTTATGCCGCCCCCCCGACACTATGGAAATCTGCATATCATGGCTACACGTTCAGTTCAACAATGCAGCCGCGCGCATTCATATTCGTCACGCAATCTGATCTATTATTTATTGAGCAAATCTGAATTGGCAAAAGTTTATGAATAACCATGCGCGGGTCGCGCGGATGTTACCGAATATCTGGTTGCGATCGTGATCAGCGCTGAACTTGTATTTGTTACGTTTTGGCGCGCTGCATGAGCGCAATATTGGAAAACTCTTTTGTTATACGAAAAGTCGGTCATGCACGTCAAACTTTCGCACACCGTTTGGACATTTTGCAGTTAGTTGCATGTGGTGATGTAGTTTTTTCCTCTGATTGAGTGAGTATGAGTGTTGGAAATTCGATTCGCTTTGTGCAATTAAACGCACACAGGGCTAGAGGAACATGAACAAGTCATTATCAGTGGCGTACTTGGGTGGGTGGGAAAGCGAAAGTTTAATATGGGCGCGATGCATGCGCTTGTAAGCCGTTGCCGCAGTCGGCATAAATCTGCGACGGCGAGGATGTATAAATCATTGCTTCCGATTATGCCTCCCATTCCTTGTTTCGGCGATTAAAGGAGGCGAGACGCCCGCCGACGTCGTCGATTTCCAAACGAAGGAATTATGTATTCATTGGACGTGCCGAGTACATTTACACTTGACTTATTTAGTCGTATGTATATTGCGTTAAATTTTCAACCAATTTTGCTTTGTTTTGTTTTAGCATTACCTGAAGAAGAACCGAAGATCACCGGAGGGAAGCCACGCTATCAAGTTGGCGACACCGTGAGGGTGAATTGCACGTCGGGGCGGTCAAAACCGGCGGCGCAATTGAGCTGGTTCATCAACGGAGAACACGCTGATCCGAACTTCCTGCGTGGGCCGGACACGATAGTCACCGGACGCGAGGGTCTCGAGACGTCCATCCTGGGGCTGGAGTTTGCTGTACGGCCGAAGCACTTCAAGAAGGGCGACATGAAGCTCAAGTGCTTGGCGACCATTGCTACTCTCTACTTTCGAAGCAACGAGGAGTCCGTTGAGGGTGAGCGCCCCCAGCGTGCGTCGGTTCTTGAAAGTCGAGGTACGGTGGCTCCACCCGGCTCCCGGGCGGATCGAGTTCAAGGTGTGTGCCATTTTTACTTTCAACAAAATTTATTTTTAACCAACACTGAAGAGTTACAAGAGAAATCGATACATTTTCATTAAGCAACTGAAATTGAACCGCAAATTACCAAAAGTACACTCTGAGTCTTAATCCCGAAATATTTTTTCTACATTTAACTTCCACCTAAATAATGGATGGTCTGATTGATGCTGAAATTAGAAAAATAAACTCGATTCCTTTTACAACTCAATGGAGCGAAAATGAATGACTATTAATTAAAAATAAAACCAAAATTTAGTTTGGCACGTGTGTAAAATACGCCCATGTTAAAGTTGCTGTCGACATGAGAGATATATACGAACAGGTAGGTTACTGGTAGCTGCTGGTAGGCAAAATTTAATTTGCGAGATAAATTGACCGAACGCGTTTCGCGCGATATATCCTCATCGCCGGTAATTGTATGAATGTGCTCGAGTGCCGAAGCGCCTGCAGTAGAGTACACCGGATGAAAAACAGGCACTTGTACTGTGCAGCGAACGTGATGCAGCAATTGATCAGTCGATTGTTTGAGCGTGTCGCAAATTTGATTCGAGGACTTTCCACACTGCAAACCAAAAAAAAATCCCGAGGCTAATCAGGCATTGTTTCAATTCTAACCGTGACATTTCCGTAAAGAATTTCTATGATAAGAGAATGCAAAGGTGTAATTTTTAGGGGTATCAGCAAGCGATAAATTTGGTATTTGCCGTACATAAATTCTCGCCGACTGAAGAACGTGCTAGATATTGCTTCATATCGGAAATACGTGTGTTACTTTTATTCGTGCCGTCGACAATATATATATACGTTCCCGCAAACCGTGGCGAAACACACAACGAATATATCGAAATTGAGATCACACATTGTTTCAAATCTTGATGTATCGCGGCAGCCGCCAGCAGACGTCCGCATGGTGGCGGCGCCGGGCGCTCGATAAAAAATTCACGCGCCGGCATGTTTTATTGGAACAGGGCCAACGGTATTCATAAATACATTTCCTGCACTGCGCATCCACTTCCTTCTATCCTTTTCAACAATTTACGACTCTCGGTTGCGCGTCGTCCTGCGTGTGCACACGTCTTCGGTCGACTTTGGTTTTACGGCTGGACGTATAACCGCCGCACGCGTCTCAATCCGCTTGCCCATGTCCTACCTAAACCTAAAATAACCGGGGCAGCGGCGGCCGCATCTCGTCTCATCTTGTCAATGCGCCCGCGTCGGTTAGTTCAACAAGCAAATCCGAACCTTCGGCGCCGAACCTATATAAAAGGAAAACAAGATAATGCCCCAATTCCTAGGGGCGCCTCTTTCTTGCCACGACACGCCCGTGTCACAATAACAAATCACGTGGAAACGTCAATAATACTTAGGGATTATGTCCTACAGCTTAATAATCTTGATGCCGTCGCCACACCAAGTCAGAAAAAACGGATTAATGTTCCAATGAGTTTTAAAATAACCGCTGAAATATTTACGACCGAATAACAGCTACGGTGTGACATAACAGGGCTCAAGTTTCGCGCATTCTTATTTCGCGAATCGCGCCGGCGGGTTACGGCCGCAGTTGTATAAAGCACATAAACATTATGACTTTATAGGCGAAACACTGGTGTGGCACGCAAACGCTGCCTGCGCATTGTCTGTTTGAGTTTCGTGCTTTGTGCCCGGCGCCTCCACCCGCCCGTCAACTTCTCTAATTCCTTTGGCCAACTTTAGCGCATGTTCCTATGGCGACCATTTAGTTGGTAAATAGCAAATGCATGGTGTGCACAGTGCGCTCAGGCGTTACTTGAATTGTTAAATTTTGTGTGAACAGGTGAAATGCTGATTATGCCATCGCCACACACATACATCTAGGCAGGGATAGACGTACATGCATATGGTTAGGACTAATTTCGAGAAAATAATCGTAAACTATTATTTACGCTGCGTATTTTGAGCGAAACAAAAGCATAAATGTTAGTTTGTTGGGCATTGTCAGCCGCCACAGTGGTTGTAAGCAAATTGGTAATGGTGCTTCGTTCGAGCGTGCGCTAAACTAACCTAATCTGTCACGTCGCATTCGGTTATGGCGCAATTACTAACTTGGAATGGTTTTGTTTGACTTGCAGCCGCAACAGGAGGTTCGACGTTGTCGTCGCCGCCCGCCACCGCCGCCGGCATTGTGCTCTATGGCTGCCTGCTGCTGCTGCTGACCGGCATGCTCACCTGCCCAAGGTAATTCCATCGTCCGTGTTACGACGTCCTTTGACGCGCACGTATTATAATTACTTCGTACTTCTTACTCCAACTTCACTTCGGCTGGCGTCTAACGCAAGCAGAGAGACTGAAACACGTGATGTGCGCAAAGTAAAAGCAAAGTGAGACGATTGTGATGTGATTGTGAACCATGTGGTTTTTATAACGCTGGCAAACTGAGTGTGATGGACTTGTGTAATTTTTTTGTTTTTCAATACTAGCGAGTAAATAATTGTGAGTAAAGAGGTCTGTGAGCATTCCCGTAATTGTAACTGATTGATGCTCGGACGTGTTCAACAAAATTCGTATTGACGTGTCAATATTTCGACTTTAGTTCCGCATCCAGCCCGAAATTGATTAACTAACCTGGCGGCGACTTTAATTGATTCATTGTAGTTTCATACGGCACTAAATTTCGCGCTCGATGCGCATGTTTACAAACGTTGATTTTATTGTTTGCATTCGATTTGTACATATTCGTATATTGCCGAAACGTACGCGTGCAACAAATCTACGTCCTTCTATCAAACAAATACTATACAGAGAAAGTCTATTAACACTTACTGCATACCTATAGAGATGAAGTAAACATAAAATTAAAGGAGAAAAAAACATTTCCAATTACAAATTAAATTACAAATTGTATATGTAGCTGTAAACATTTATATGATATGAAAAACATGAAACAATCAGATGTACTAATCGATAGTAAAGTGTTTTGGTCAACTTTTGGAGTGCGAAGAAGAATTGGACATAAATTATATATGCATTATGAAATTATACGAAGATATATTGTAAATTATTACTAATTATAATAATAATAATAATGAATATATAAAATTGATACGGCTAAAATTTATAAATGTTAATTACCATATTGTGGTTTCATTTCAATTGAATAATTACGATCTAATTACGCTAATTGAAAATCTAGACGACGTATGAAATGAAACGTAAAAAATATTAAACTAAAATTAATTAATTATTATTAATAATAATGTGATGTTGATCCAAATATAATAATTATTGCGATATGATGTATAAATGAATAATGTTTAAAGCATAGAGGATTTAAGGAATCTAGTCTGTAACAACTATAAATACACTATCAATATGATTGATTTTTATAATTAAAATTATGATTGCCATCAAATATTTGCATTTAAGTTACATCAACATATTTAACGATTAATGCCAGCTTCCAAATGGATGTAACCGATGAATTTGTTTTTTTATGTTTGTGTTGTTGAAATTGTAATTTCTGATAGACTGAATAGGAATGGGAATGCGAATGGCACAAAAATTAATTGCATTCGAAGTTTGTAAATATAACTTCTTTATTAATCGATTGGATTGTCGTTAAAATTGGTTTTGGTAGAATATATAACAAAAATTGCAATTTTTGGTTTTAATGAGCGAGATATCATCCAATTGCGATGTAAATTTGTATAAATTCCCTGTGATCGACTTATAAAATATTGTAATGATCGTGCATATATAATACCAGAGTAAAGCTAACGCTAAAGAGGAGTAATTTAATTAATTACAACTAATACTGTAACGTACGATCGATTGATAAAAATAAACCTAAACGATAATTAAACGTTTCATGAGGATATTAAAATGTGCTAAGACCCTTGATTATGTTGACCATCACATTATGACATTCTTTTATGAAAATAATCAACTAATTGCTTCAATGTTTAATACACTTCCAATATATGAAATTTGATAGAGTGCATTGATTTGGATTCGATTCCATCAACTTGTATGTCAGTCAATGACGCATTTTCTCCATTGTTTGTATTCGAAGTTCTTTTATTCCCCTGCGTCACATGTGGAAAAGAACTCATCAGCATATACATGTATTTGATTTTATTTTGGAAAATAATAAAAATGATTGTAAAAATGTTTAAAGCACACTGTTTCGCTTGTTATCCCATGCAATATATCCTGCATCGTGAGTGTAAACTTTGACGCGCTGGTTCTTGTTACCCGTTACGGAAAACTTTCGTCGTTTACAGCGTGTCGTGTTCAGGACGTTTTTTCGGTTTTGCATAAAACAAAGATGTTTGATTAAACTCGGCGAACGCGCGGTGTGTTATCGCATAACAACCAACAGCTATCATTCAACGCGTCGCGGTTGCGAGCAAATACCTGGGTAATACGAGAGCCGCACCGGTGTGGTGGAGGCGCCTACGATGCCACTAGCTGCAAGACCGCAAGTAACTAAGAGTTTGCGCGACGGTGCGCAAACACACACATACACACACACGGCGTAGTTGAGCTAGTCGGAGAGAATATTGCTGTATTGTGTCGTGTAAATATATTATACCGTCGTAATATTGTGAAATACGACAGGTGTAATATTTCCTTTGAAAGCCGAGGATCAACTGGGGAAATTGCGAATAGGTTCGACAAAAACTCGAAGCGCACGAATCGAATCCTCCGGTGATACCTGCATTGGTTGCAGACTGCGCAGACATGATTGAATACTTTTCAGGAAGTGGAAGCATCGACTATTGTTGAATGATATTCAGAATGTGTGCTTCTTTTTGTCCGTTTGATAAATACTGCTGAGATAATCGTTCTTGGCGAATTGTTTCCTCAAACTATCAACGGTTTTCCAGGCGCTAGTGAACGTTTCGTTGTCAAATTGATACAAATTTACTCAAATCGATAGAATTCCAATTCGGCGCGCGAGCGGTCGGTGTCCGGCGGTGTGAAGATAACGACGTTTCCGACATGACGACTTGAAACACTAAAGAGACGAATCGACAGCCCAGGACGCGCGCCGCCTGAATGCCAGCCGAAAAGCAGGAAGAACTGGAAGGATCTGAGACGAACGCGCGTCCTGGCGCAGAAAACTTGGACCCGGGGGTGAATTTAATCTCCAACTCGTTTCGCCGCCACTGCATGCGCGTCGAGGCCATCCTGCTACCTTTTCGCCCGGCGCATCCACCAACGCTGGCTGGGTTTTCAAGTAGTGTTTACGTATTCGTCGCGGGTCGGCAATGCTTCGCCTCGCCTGTCTCATCAGTCCACGCAGTTGGAAGCACGATGTTTTTATATCACATACAGTATCACACAAATAAACCCATTTTGCAACAAACAATAGAAATCATTATATAAATTACACACTTTTAAAATGTACACAGAATCATAATCGTTTATTTTCATTTAATTTAATCCTTTTAAAATGAGTTTTCTTTATTTCAGCAAATATTTACGCCGTATTTAATTTGGGGTTTTTTTGGGGTGCAAACTGTATTCCAACGGATGTGGCAAGATATTTCTTTTCAAGACTCGGTGTAGTGTCGCAGGATAACGCCGAGGATAACGACGAACAAGTATAAAACGAAAAAGCTCACTTGGTAATGGAGTCGCGGATTACTTTATAATTTTCGTTCTTATTTTGCGTGCTGCCTTTGTTGAAGCCCTAACTTTTCTTCAACGAGCTCTCTAACCACAACGACAACAAACGTGCAAAAGACGAAGGTTATTAAAAGACAATTTTTATATTTTTAGCGAAGAATAAAGAAATATGACAAAATAAAAATTAAATGAACTTTTTTCTCTTGTTGTGTGTCATGAGAAGTAAAATAGGACAACGCCGCAGCATGCAATAATCCCTTTTAGGTCGTTAATTACTTTAATAAAGATGTCAAAGCTGAATTAAATGCGTATGCATTTTAAATATGCGAGCGCCAAGTTTATGAATAAAAATGACGTTACCTTTTTCTACCCATACACGTTTTTCACTACTTTTCACGACTTCTTTACTTTTCGCCTCGCTGGAATTTGCATAATGTTTAACGCGCGTATATTTTAGGTATTTCGACGACCGCTTTTTATAATTTTAACAAATTTTTTCCCGCCCAGGGAATTTGCAGCAAGCGGCGAGTAATTAAACACAATTTAACTTCGGGTGCGTGTGTGAGTTTTTAAAAATAATATTTGCGGATAAATTAAGCTGAAAAAATGTTGATGATGAAAAGTTGTAAATAGGTCAAATTGATACACAAGAAGCCGATTGCCGGTAGCAAACGAAAGATCGAGTAAAGCCCGAACAGACGCCGGTGAGCAAAGGCATTTCTGGCATTGGCAGTCGGGTGAAATACGGCCAATACCTGCCTTCCAGTGCTGTTGTGGCAAACTCTTATGTTGTCCTCAAAGTATCTGCTATAGTGGCTATAAAGTACCGCGCCGCGCCAACCCACTACACGCGCGCACTATATCTCTATCCCACAATCAAACTCCATTACGAGTCAATATTTTTTGCCGCACATCCAGCGGCAGCGCTAAAAGCTTCCCGGCGAGGATCCGCAACCCTTGTTGAGTTTTGGCTTGCTTGCGTCTTACTTACACGCGCCGATGTTGTGTTGACAAATATTTTTATGTCATTTTATATCGTCACTCGACTAGACTCGTCGGATAAATCCGTCTCAAGTAGTCAGAAATGGTTATTCAATATGTTGGAGAGTTTGTGAATTTCATAAATATTTCTCTGTTTTGGGTCAACTCGATTCAAATCATTTCGATTCAACTCGTATATATTTGTGGATAGAATGTGTATAATGGACATTTCTATTCGCTGTCCGTTTCAAATCCCATTTAATAAATCCCATTAATTTACTTGATAATTAAGTGGATGTCGTGGCCAATGATAGCTACTAGCTGGGGCTTTGCTCGTTTTGCCGCCGCCGCCGCTGCTGGCACTCGCGTCGGTGTGTGCGGATGTGCGGACTGCGAAATCGGGTGTAAGTGCGGAACAATAAGAGCGACGGCCGCAAATAGAGCAGTATATTACAACATCATTGTTCCTTTGATAAATGAGTAAAGACGCGGAGATAAAATCGTCAAAGCATACGAGCGGCTACGCTTTCAAAACAACGAATCCAAATCATTCACACGCCGTAAGTGCGAGCGAAAGATTTTGTAAACTATTATATGAATACCAAATTTTAATTAATTTAATTTACCTTATTTTTATTACTTATACTATTAATGGATTAAAAATATCATCATGTAAAGATTTAAAAAATGCTAAATATTTTGCTTAATTATCAAAAACCATTATACAACGTCAAAAAGTCCAACGAGAACAAAAATCAATTAGCGCACGATTTCTGCCTGCCAGTCTTTTCGGAGTTCGCTGCGTTTCATGAAAAATTCACCGGAGCGACGTTTTTGATAAATGATTTATTACTACATGAAGGTAGTACTAAGCCCCGGCTTCAACTTTCCGCCGAGTAAAAAGCTAATTATTTGCCCATAATACATGAGACTCTTCAGGCGTCTTTGGCGAATCGCTTAGAATTAAAATTATACCCGATATAACCGCGCTTGATTGGTACAAACTCTCGCGCACTCGTCTAAGGGATTTTATTTCTATAATCACGTCAATCAATTAACGGATTTGCTTGTTTTACGACGGTTTCGCTTTTATTGCCTTATCGCATTTAATAATTAAGCGACGGTGGGTACTATTTCCGATTAGAAATTTACAACGTGAACAAATCGAAATTATATGCATTTGCAGAATAACGCCTCGACGTAGAGATAAAACAAAGACGCAGGCAGTACGGGATGGGAGATTAATCGGACAATTTTGTAATAAGAGGCAATGAATAATTGATATTCGTTTCTTAATTAAATTCCTTTCACCCTCGCGTAAGATTTTCAATTCGGCGATTGGCAAGTCGTTTGCAGCTTCCAGCAATTTGTCTCCGGTTACTTTCGTGTCGGTTTTTTTGATTTGACAAAAAATGTTAACATGCGCTTAATAGAATTATTTTATATGCTGTGCACGTCGTGCAAATCAAATATTGACAAAACAGACGGTCGTTTGATGCAATACAAAATACCGGATAGTGTCTGTCTATTCGATTTATCCGTAGTAATTTCTCAATGAAAATTGATTGCTTTTTAATTTGCATACAAAAAACATAAATAAATAAGTTCCACTTTACATCGAATCGACTAATATGTTTCTTGCATGATGCATTGTTAATTTTTTTAACACAAAATCATTAAAATCACATTTGTTGGTGCTTGTAAATGAAAAATTTATGTTATTAAAATAATTTTGTAAAAATATTGTTTCGAAGTCACCAATGGCGTCTTTAAATCTGACCAAAATGGGCCTTAGCAAACGTCGCAGGTTGGCGTTACGGCAACTATACGACCTCAACACTCACATCGTGTAACCGCCGCCGTTGCCGCCGCCTGGAATGTGGGCAATCGTATGGTGGATTCGCCGGGCATAAATGTAACACGCGTATAACTTTCAGCGCGGAAGCTTTTCGAATGTAATTGGAAAGTTTACATCAAATATATTTTATCGCTCCGCTAGACAATATCGCCGATGTGGAACTTGGAAATAATATAATAAAAAGGAATCTAATTAAATCGATTCGATCGGATTTATTTTATGCGCGCATAAATCTTGATTTTAAAGCTGACCGCAGCACCAACGAAGTAACTTAGGGGTTGATAGATGTCGGAAGAGCAAATTTTCCAGCATCTTTGATCTTTACCTTTACAAAAAACTGAATATTTAAACAAGATAATAATAAATTACATTTAAGTAAAAATGTAGTGAATTAAATTAATTTTATCCTTTTGAATAATTTAAATGTTTTCATGCGCAAAGCAATATTATTCTTTATTGGAAAATAAAACGCAATTCCAAACACGTACCATCTTGCGAGCTCCAATGCAAGCGGAAATATCTAACTCAATTTTTGATATTATTTTCCGGTTCATTACTGCGCTCCTGCCCCACGGAAAATGTTGCGGACATGAATGTACGCTGCGGATATAAAACCGGTTTTAAAGTTTTGTTGCGTTTTGTTTGTTGCATCCATCAAAAGCAGCCATTGCAGGCTAAGTGCGCAAAGTGCAAGTAAAAGCTA